CTTCAATCCCAATTCACACAAACAAAGGCAAGACGTATAGGCACAACACAAGTAATCAAAACAATGCTGTTTCAAGTGAATGCAGCCTCACTACATCCATAATGATAACAATCACAGAGACATATAATTTATGTAGTAATAATGGACATAATATATATATTTTAGTAAAACTATTACTTTAACATGCAAATGGCAATGTTTGATATGCATTATTTATTTATTACTACACTGTGATGGAGAGCGAAGCTCTAGCCTTGATTCTTGTCCTGGGAGTGAGCACTGAGATGGACCCTGGGCCCCGATCTTAAGGAAGTAAAGAAATGACAACAAACGAAATAATTCTAAATTCTATCAGACAAAACACTCATTACCGTTTCTAAAGGATATTTTTATTTTTATATTCTAAAGATTTTCTCCGTAATTAAAGTCTCGATATTTAAATTCTTTTCTGCACCTAAACACTTTATCTTTCTATCTAAGCTCTATTTAATTTTTGTTTTCGTTTGAAATTAATATTTTATCTCTTGATTTATTTTCTATAAAATTTATTTTATTTTCTTTTACCGGAATTTCGGCGGGCATCTGCTCCCCTAAAAAATTGATAATCTACCTGTTAAATGTCAAACAATATATTCTAATTTTCCAAATCACACCAGCCCATCCATCGGGCAATCATCAATCAATTTCCATCCTCCATCAATCTCACATCAACACACCAAGTCCAAATTCATCATTTATTACAATAAGGATAAGCATTATCATTATTAATTTATCTTATTATGCTAAATCAAACACTAGAAAATTAATGAAACACTATTAACCTACTGCAAATTAAGCCAAAAATTAAATTTAATGCAGCGTGTTATATCACGTATCTAAAAATAATTAGTTTTATATTTAATATCAAGCTAACATTCTAACTTAATAACGTTCAATCTAAACTCATAGCTAATATACAAATAATAAAAGATTAAAATTGCCATGTTTAAACGTAAATACTTATTCTGCAGAATTAATTAACTTGCATTTAATTAAAACTATAAATTTCTAATTAAACTATGTTATGTGATTAGAAACTATTACACTAACTCATAAACATACAAGGTATTAAATTTAAACTAATAACTAAATTTAATTAACTCTTCGATCATTTAAGGATTGAGAAATGAAATTGTTACACTGTAAAATATACTATACAATTTATAATTGGTCAAAAGAATCTACTAAAATTATATGTATCTGAAATATTGATTATACCTAAAAAAAAAAATGGGATGCTGGTGATATTTTACTTTGTCGGAGATGGAGGCTACACGTGCCGCGCAGTGAGAGCATGCGGCAGGTGTGGAGGGCTTGATTGGCCGCGGAGGGTTGCCGATCTGGGCTAGCGCGCAGTATGTCGGGCAGTGGCAATGGCGTAGAGGAGGCTGGGTGAGGCGCTGGCACCTGAATCGAGGAAGGCAGAAAGGAGCTGGGCGCTGCGACCGCAATTCTAGGCAGCGAGTGGATGGCCTAGGCTAGTGGCGCGCCGATGCCGGTAGCAGCTATGGGAGGCACGACGGAAGGTGATGGCGCACTGTGGGCACGCACAGCTCGCGCGCACGCAGCGCCATCGCGGGTGGGCGCGCAGCGCCCTGGCTGTCGCTGATCTTTCTCGCTAGTGCGCACGACGTATCACGAGCAGGGCGGGTCAGGGAAAGAGTGTAGGTAAAATGGAGAAATAGAAGAACTCAAGACAAAAAGAAAGAAGAAAAGAAGTAAGAAAAACGAAAAGGGAGAAGAGAAGGGATGGAGGGGAATGGTGCTGGGTGGAGGCTGTGGGTCACCGGTGACTACTGACTGGAAGTGTGTGAGAGGTGAGGGGTGAGCGTTGAATATAGAGAGGAGGGAGTTTCTAGATGGTTTGGGTCGAACCGGTTCGATTCGATTTGATTCGACCCAAATCTTTGATTTTTAATTGGTTTTCGGCTTTTTCAATCGTTTTTCAGTTCGGTTTCTCATAGTATTCACACTAAAATATTTATATTAATTTCCAGGCTGTCGATTCATTAAATTTAATTGAATAACTTTTGAAAATAAAAATTCGGGTTGTTTCAGTAACTAAGACAAATAAATTTTTATTTAAGAATAATTCTAAACATAATTTTGTAAAAAATTCAATTGAATTTCTTAAATCAAATTACGACTAGACATACTAAACATGAAAAAAAACATGAAAAATTCATTTATAAATAAATTCTTTCAGTTACGAACTGTTCCCAGAATACATCTTTTACTGTAGCAGCACGGCCCATAATACATCATTTACCGAAGCACAGCAGGCTCTCGATTGCCAGGCTTAGGGACTGTTCCCAGAATACATCGTTTACTCTAGCAATTGCAGCGGTAGGCGCTTGAAAGTTATTTGAGGCCTCCTTCGATGAAGATAAATTCGTGTCCCCATTTCCACCATTCCTGTGATTTGTAAGAATATTAAATTTTTAATCACTAGAATAAAAAATAATAATAGTTATATTTATGACTGAACGAGTATATAGGGATTATGGTTGTTGAGTATAGAATATTTGATGGTAGAACAATATAAAACTTTAAGAATTGTTAATTTTATTGGTTTGAAAAATAATAAAGATAATTCTACTTTTGACATAAATAAATTAAACAAAAGAGGAGAAAGGGGAATAAAACCAGTCAGATTGACTATTGAGTGAGATATCAGTGTGATGTACTCGTTAATTGAATATGTTTGGTGTATCTATCTTTGACTAAATGCTACATACAATGAGACAAAGATGTGTTAGTTCATAGATGTGTGTATTTAAATAAGAAATAGCTTAAAGTAATACAAAATGTGTAATAAATAATTCAAGATCGCATAATAGAGATAGATCACTAATAATATAGTAACTCACCTAGGTACTAGTATGAAGATGTAAAGTAGTTTAGCGCATATTAGAATGATGACTTTTGTTGGTTCATTAACGTATTAACTGAGAGTCGATGTTTTTACTTAGGGAGAACGTCGTACAGTACTGACCACCCGAGAACTAATGATAGTTTTATCTAAATCTTAATTAAGGAAGTGAGAGATTGAATATTGTTGATACTATCTCATTTGCACTTGAAGTGTAAATATATTGTAAGATTGCGTCTTATTATGTGTCTAGAGTTTCTTACTGAGCGAAAAAGACGTTAACTAGTTTATATTGAACAAATTTTTATAAATTAAATTTATAAAATTATAAATTGGAATTCTTTCATTTTCCTCGTATTTCTTTTTTGTTTGCTTTGTTTAATATTGTTAGCCTTATTGCCTTTATTATTCTCTTGAAGGTTATTAATTAATTTTATGCCTTAATCTGCTTAAGTAAATTTCTAGAATCATTTTCAATTAGTATAAATTTGGTTAATTTTTTTAAACAAATTAATTTAAAACTATGATTGTAATTTTTTTAACATTTAAACGCTTCTTTTTTAAAATTGGTTTTGCCTATTTTTAGTTTAAAAATTTTGTTCTACTTTGGATTTTAATACTTAACATCTATATTATGATAAATAAAGGACCAATATTTAAATTATACTTCAATTGTAAATTTAATCTAATTAAATAATTATATTTTCTAATTAGTATAAATTTGTTAATTTTTTTAAACAAATTATTTAAACTATGATTGTAATTTTTTTAACATTTAACGCTTCTTTTTTAAAAATTGTTGCCTATTTTTAGTTTAAAAATTTGTTCTACTTTGATTTTAATATTACATCTATTATTATGATAATAAAGGACCAATATTTAAATTATAACTCAATTGAAAATTTAATCTATTAAATAATTATATTTTCTTTGGCTACTATTAAAGATTTGTTTTTACTTTTACTATCAATAATTCATTGAAAACTCTCCACTATCAAGTGTTTCTTTGCTATTGCTATGTCGAAAGTTTTTCACTTTATTATTATTAATGGCTGAGGTATTAATTTTAACTTTTGATTTTTTTTTATTTTGGTATACTATCACAAAAAAATTTTGAATTCGATTACCAATAATTTATATATGCATTTATTTTTTTATATATGGCGAGATCTTGGATCAAATAATTATTTATTTTCAAGTTTGTAACTATTCCATTTTGTCAAAAAATCTATTGTAAAATAATTAAATTTTTCATCAAATACTAGATATTTATTATAGTGGTTTGCACCTATTTTTATACATATAATAATTATAACTAAAAATAGTGAATTTTTATATTGTCTTTATAAAAATTAATAAAAAATAAATTAATAAATAATCATTCTAATGAGTATGTTCAACGAGTAACAACGTGCATCCCACGTTCATGAACATTATTAATAATAAATTCATGAATTATGACAAGCATATCATAAAACTAGAGTCGTGTTGGGCAACAGCTTTTAAGTAGCTTTTCATTGGTCAAAATATCAAATGCATACACTTTATCTGTCCCAAAATATAAGTCATTTAAGATTTTTACATAAAGATTTAAGGAACAATTAATTCTCATAGATTATAACAAAGCCAAAGGTAAGTTGATTAAATTATTCTTTATCTCAAAACCAATAGTTATTTGTAAAAGTATTTATTGTATCTAATATAAATAAAGGTAATATTGGAAAAACATCTTTTATTACTTTTTAAAATACTCGAAACGACTTATATTTTTTGGAACAAAATAATTAAAAAAAACGGCTTATATTTTGAAATAAAGAGAGTAACATTACATTTAACTAATTTTTAGAAATTAAGATAACGTGTGTTATGAAAAGATACTTAAACAACTAACATAAATAACTAATTTTAATAAAACTTAGATTTGGTTTACGATATTAATTTCATATCTCGCATAAGCAACAGAGCCATAAATTTTGAATAGAGTTAATAAAAATATAAAATTTCTAATCTGAATATAACAACAGATGCATTATATGCTATGATTGGCATTTATCATTTCTTTCTTCTTATAATAGAACAACCGATAAACTTGACAAGTCAGCAAAATTATGGCAGTTGCATTACGTATCTATCCATTCTTCCAATGAAGGATGATGTCTCTGCATATAAGCGGACAAATCCATCTAACCGTTTCAACAAGAAGAATAGATTCCAGCTCCTCCATTTCCTCCATAAAAAATCCACAGCCAAATAGATAAGGAAAATCCAACAATGGGCAAACAAGACGATACCGTTGCATCGGCTGCCGCGGAAGGATTCCAACTAGTAGGATTCTCCAACTTTGTGAGAACCAATCCCCGATCCGACCGATTTAAGGTCAAGCGCTTTCATCATGTGGAGTTCTGGTGTACAGATGCTACTAATACGGCACGCCGTTTTTCTTGGGGATTGGGAATGCCAATCGTGGTTAAATCTGATATCTCCACCGGCAACGTTACCCACGCTTCCTATCTACTGCGCTCCGGCGACCTCAACTTCTTGTTTACTGCTCCCTACTCTCCGTCAATTGCTGCCATGGAGAATTTATCAAACACTGCCACGGCATCAATCCCCACCTTCAATCACGAAGATTGCCGCAATTTCACCGCCAAGCATGGGCTTGCAGTCCGAGCCATCGCATTAGAAGTGGAAGACGCTGTAATTGCATTCAACACTAGTGTGGCTCACGGTGCCCAACCCTCGGCAGAACCTATAGCACTGGATAATCGTGCTGTTGTTGCAGAAGTTCATTTATACGGCGATGTCGTTTTGAGATACATTAGTTATTACAACTCAAACCCTAATGATGATCATGATTGGTTTCTGCCAAAATTTGAAGCAATGGATGAATCGTCATCATTTTCGTTGGATTACGGTATTCGGCGATTAGACCATGCCGTCGGGAACGTACCGGAATTAGCCCCCGCTGTTTCTTATGTGAAAGCGTTCACCGGTTTCCATGAATTTGCTGAGTTCACGGCGGAGGATGTAGGGACTAATGAAAGCGGATTGAACTCGGTGGTGTTGGCGAATAACGAGGAGACGGTATTGCTACCGCTGAATGAGCCTGTGTTTGGCACCAAGAGGAAGAGTCAGATACAGACATACTTAGAGCATAACGAAGGTGCAGGAGTACAACATTTGGCGCTTGCCAGTGAAAATATATTCAGAACCTTGAGAGAAATGAGGAAGAGGAGCTGTATTGGAGGCTTTGAGTTTATGCCATCTCCACCTCCAACATATTATAAGAATTTAAAGAACAGGGTAGGAGATGTTTTGACTGATGATCAGATTAAGGAGTGTGAGGAATTGGGGATTTTGGTGGATAGGGATGATCATGGGACCTTGCTCCAGATTTTCACTAAGCCTCTGGGTGATAGGTATGTATTGATTATCTTTTATTTGATACATATTTTGTTCAATATAATTACTTATTTTTTGGATATTTGTCTCGTAAAAAGGTGAATTTCTTACTGATTAGAACAACTAAATTGTAGTACCCATGATTGTGAAATCTAAATAAAAATACAAGGATGTTAAACACGGAAACATTTCCTATGTTCACTAACTGAAATAATATGTAAAACTAATATAGAAGAGAATTGAGTTCGGAAACAATTGGAAAAGAAGATTCCTGATTAGGCAAATTTAGCCAAATTAAGAATTCTACCCATTCAGCCTGATGAGTGACATGCTCGCTATTTTCACGTTAACACCGATTAGTTACTCATCATAGGATGTTGAAATGGGTGCATCGGGCCCGGATGCAATTTATTAGCTATTTTGTGGCAATTCCAGGAGTGGATTATTTGTAGTTGTGGACTGTGAGGTAAGGGTTGATAGTTCGGAAGAGGATGGCTGTGAAGGTAAGGGGTGATAGTTTGGAAGAGGATGGGTTTCTTATCGGAATCCACAAAGAAATGATCCAATTGATCAAGATGCATCACGAAGATTGTATCCATACAATTTTACACTTCGATTGCATCAGACCCAATGCAGGCGATTTGTACAATCCTAGCTCTACCATGTAAAACATATCCACTAAAATCATGAAAGCCAATAGTTATTTTCTAAAGGGTCACCTCTCATATCATGAAACTTGCAATAAAAAAGGAACCAAAATCATTTGAATGAATCCTTGTACATGGGTTATTCCAAAATGGGTTCTTGAGTTACCTGATTGAAAGAGTTGAATTCTTGTATATGAGTTGTTCCTAGGAAATTTCCCTGTTATCGTTGTTGCTCTTATTGGATGAATTGGTAGTTTTACCCTTCATCTCTTTTGCAGGCCAACCATCTTTATAGAGATAATTCAGAGAGTAGGGTGCATGCTCAAGGATGAGGCAGGGAAAGAATATCAGAAGGGTGGATGTGGGGGATTTGGGAAGGGAAACTTTTCGGAGCTATTCAAGTCCATTGAGGAGTACGAGAAGACACTTGAAGCCAAGCGGATTGCAGAAGCAGCTTAAGCATGGGTGTTTCACGGCATCTCTGAAAGTGGTTCGATGTACTTTTACCTTATCTCTGAAACTCCTTAGATATACTAATTTGAATAGTTAGTGAAACTGAATTGTAGAACAAGCCAACAGTTCTTCTGGGTGTTATCAGTTTAAACAGAAAAATCATATGTATTAGCTTTGATGATCTAGTTAAAAGCTACAACTAAGTAGGGAATGATGTATTTCAAAAAAATAAAAAAATAAAAATAAAAACAAAAAAAAGGGGATGGTGTGGTTCGAATATAATGTAAAAATTGAACTAATTGTATTTAAACTCTTCTAATAATCTTATTATAAATTGTCTCAGGATTGTTTTTGAATTATTGAACGTGAATAATCAAATTTACCTCCGATTTTGGATAATCATCAATAATCAATTTTAGCAAATGGGCATAGTTAGAACTAGTTCACAAGGTAGAATAATACTTGCTTATGTCCTCGTTTTGGAGTAATTTTTGTTATCTACAAACATCTATGGCTTTGAGAATATTAAGCAGTAACTAATGTGTTTTTTTTTTTTCAATTTGACCCTTATTTATATTAAATATAATAACTATTTCAACAGTTTTCTAGAACCATTTTTAATCAAATTAATTATGTAAAATAAAGAGTAATTTAATTAAATTAATGAATTTTTGTTACTCCATCCGTTCGAAAAAAATAGTTCATCTTTCTTTTTTGACTTGTCTCAAAATATAGTCCACTTTTCCTTTTTGTGCATTATAGTTAATCTTTAAATTATCTATTATACTCTTATTAAATTTTATCTTATTTTCAATAACCATCGTTAATTCTTACTTATTATTTCAATGTAACAGTTGCTTATATGTTATTTAAGATGGGCATAATAGAAAAGTTATATGAATAAAACTGTCCTTTAGCCATAATAATTGCTACGTTTTTAATCTGTATAAAAATAGAGAGTGAATTATCTTTTTGAGACGGAGGGAGTATAACTTAGGAGAATTAATTGTGTCTTTAATCACCGCGGATATTTACGGAGTGAGGGAATAATATTTTGATAGATAAGATAAAATTGCAATCTCATAGAGTAAATTCTAATTTTCTAATTAATCTATTATTAATTAGAGTAGTACTGAAAGGTTCCAGAAATAGAATTGAAGAGTATTCGACAGTTTAAAGTTATAACTGATTGTCAATTTAGTTTCAAGCTTCAAGTTGATGCTTATTTAACAAGACAAAATGAAGATGCAGCAAGGAAAATTTGGTGAATGATTGGGTGAGAAATTAGGATCTATCAAGGAAGATCGAGTAATTTGCTAATCCAACATTTTTTTCAATAATAATGTTAATTAGTACATATTTACCGCAATTAATTTGCTCCTCTCAATGTTCATTCTCCTCTGGATAGTGGTAGTATATATATAAATATATAAAATACAACTTAATAATTATATATTCAAATTCAATTTCCCCCCTAATACTAAAAAACACATTTTTTTGGATGGAAAGACCATTTGATGAGACCGAACTAAAACTTGAGGATTAAATACTTAATATATAAAAATATAAGGACGAGATAATTAATTTTGTAAAACCTCAGAAACGAAATAATTATTTTTCCTTTTTTAATGTACATACTGCAACTTGATTATATAGAAATATGCTAATAGAATTTTACTGCATATTTTCTCAGTTCTAAACTTGATTATATATACATATCCAATAAATTTTGACCTTCCTAATCTTTACTTACCCTAAATTAATTAAAAGTCATTGTCTTTGTGTTTATAAGAAACACACATTTTCTGTTGAGGATTTTTCTTTTATCAATATTTGCATGACTTTTCATATAAAATCCTAGTAATTATATGAGAAATATATTATAAATCTTATTTATCTTAGTAATAGTTATAATCACTTATCAATAAGAAAAAAAAAATGTTATATTTGATGCATACGTAAAACATAAACATCAATAGAACCATTTACTAGAATGTAATTGAACTGCACAAACTTTTTATCTTAATGCTTTGTTCAGAATCAATATTTTCAAAATTGGATCGAACTAACTGGTTCAATCAGTTAAATTGTGAATCAGTAGCTGATCTGATTTAGATTAACATTAAAATTTGGTGGGTAAAAAATCGGATTGGACCGAAAAAAACCCGGATAGACCCGAAAACTGGCAATATCGGAAAGAACCGGGTTCCAAACTCTTGGACACAGTTTCGATGACATGTTGTTGCATTCTTAATTCCTTTTGTGTTGTAGAGATTGCGCACTAGTTCATACCTATTCTTATTATTATTTTTCTCTATCTTCTTCTTCTTGTTTGAGTTTTGATGAACTTTTTTTGAGTAGTACATATTGGAAGAGAGAAAGAAACAAAGATACTATATTTTCTTTAGGGTTTATTTTTGTTTCCATATAAAATGTGTGCTTATGAGCATTTATGTGATTATATATGTAGATGTGGGCTTTTGGAATGGTATGTATGGGTTTTGGGTTTAGGATTAAAATATTGTATGATTTTTTTTCCATTTTCTTTTTTAATGAAAAATATAATAAAGTAAGTGAATAAAATTATATAAAACAAACTTTAAAATATATTAAGTAAATAAAAATTGAATAAAATCACAAAATGAAAATCAAATGTAAGAATAATTGTAACTTTAAAAAAGAAAAACACAAATAATTATTAAAAAAAAAACCCGGTTGAATCGAATTGACCTGGTTCAACTGCGATTTAATTATTAAGCCGATTTGATATCCAATTCGATTTTAAGAACATTGTTCAGAATGCTTTTGATTGATAAAAAAAAACGCTGAGGAGATCGAAATTTATGTACATACACATAAACCATTCAACCAGCGTAGAAGAATCATGTCTTGGAAAATCTGTAAGTGTAATGTTTATAAATTTTTGATTGTTCAAAAAACTAGCCTTATAAATTTACATTTTTACCCCCAACAATCACTCCTCAATTTTTTTTCTCATACTGTTTTGGATTTAATTGACTTGAAAACCTTTGGACCATAAGCCTATGATGTACATTGCAGTTACATAATTTTGGAGCATTTCTTATGACTAATTTTTTCTAGGGGTATACTTATCTTTTTTTTTTAACAAGCAAAGACAATTGGAAAATTCTTAATGATACCAATATAGTGATATTCTTCTTTTGTTTATTGAAAATTTGAGTTTCTCAAATTTAAAGGGTAATTTAGTAAATATATATCAGTCACTTTTATATTAATAAAATAAATAAAATAATTATTTAATTTAAATATGTTCATAAAACTATTTACTTTTAACCCTTAAATTTAATATAATTCTTTTTTAGGAGATATGTGGTAAAGGGATGAAAATTATAATTACAAGTTAAACTCATAAATTAAAATTTAGACCCCAAAAAAGAGAGACTTATGGCTATGTTTAATAGAAAGTGAAGAATGAAATAGAGAATGGAATGAGTATAGAATTCTTATTTCGTTGTTTAGTTGATAGGAATAATGAAAGGAATAGAATGCAGAATTAACAAAAAGACCAAAATATCATATTAATAAATTAATTTATTCAATCTATAATTTTAATTATGGCCAAATTCATAAATTTACCCATGTGGCATCCTAAATTTTGTGAACGGACTTATTATGCATTTAAAGTTATGAATTTTGATAATATTATACCTCATTCCATATTAACAATAACAATCTTTCGGTTTCTTGGGCATTTATATACAAAATATTCAATTGATGTGTGGTTAGTAATCTCTATAATAATAATTATTTTATTTTTCAACTATTTAATATGTGTTTAATCAATCTAATTTTACAAGTTCGAGAGTTCAATAGATAATTTTTTGCAAGTTAAAGTATTTAGTAAATATAATTTTATAAGTTTTAAGTGTTCAATAGGTCAAAATAAAAATTAAGAGTGCCATAAATTTTTTTACACAAAATACACGAGTGAATTTATACATTCAACTTTTATTACTAATAAACCTTCTCAATAATTTTCATTACTAATAAATTTTAAAAAAATATTATATGCATGCGAGTGAAAATTTCAATGACGGCGTTACAAGATAACTCCCTAAAAGTTTCAATATGTCTTGCATATTTATACTTCATGTTATTAATAAGTATTTACAAAGCCAAAACGAAAAAAAAGAAGTAAAAAAAAAAAAAATAAAAAAAAAAAAAAGAACGTTAAATGTAGTGAAGTTAAAAAAAAAAAAAAAATATATATATATATATTAAAAATAAATAGAGAGTAAAACATAATGGTATATAAGGTATTTATAAAAAATCTATCTTCTAACCCACCTATGTAAGATAGAGTATGCAGTGAAAGTTTTTAAAATTCAAATTGTTTTAACTTATTCTAAATACCAATCCAAGTCCTAAATTTGCTGCCCTAAATAAAGGAATGAACAATTTAGAAATTTTCATTCTAAAAATCCATCGGGCACGGCTAAACTATGCCTCCTTTAGAGACGAAGAAGTAGAGGAGATTTCGAATCCAAAATGTCTATAAATCAGCATTATTTATTATGCGAAAAAAAAAAATATATATATATATATTAAAAATAAATAGAGAGAAGAACATAATGGTATATAAGGTATTTTATAAAAATCTAACCATATGTAATAGAGGTTTGCAGGAGAAGTTTAAAATTCAAATTTGTTTAACTTATTCTAAATACCAATTCCAAGTCTTAAATGCTGCTAAATAAAGGAATGGACAATAGAAATTTCATTCTAAATCCATTCGGCACGCTAAACATGCTTTAGAGACGAGAAGTAGAGATTTCGAAGTTCAAAATTGTCTATAACATCAGCATTATTTATTATGCGAAAGCATCATTTAGTATAATACATAGTTTAAAATATGAAAATAGTTAATTGAGGATAATCATAAGAACAATAACAAAACAAATGTTGAAAAGAAATAAAAGAAAAACAGATTGAAATTGAATGGTAAAATGTTGCTTTGAAGTTGTAAATTAAAAAGAAGTGCACGAGATGGGAATCTTTGAACCGAGTCTTTGCTTCTCGAACCATTCAAAATCATCCCGGAAAAGAAGCAACCAAAGTGACAATAAAAAGAAAAAGCACTCAACAGGAATAAGCTTCTTGCTTTTTGTTCTCACTTTGCATTGGAAAGATTATTATAAAACAAACATCTTTCACTGAAATTGGCCTTACCATTATTCGGACATCAAAGCTCCAACACCAAAGGTAGTTTTTCATGTTGATATTACTAGCGACACAGTATTGACTTTTTAATTAATTTAGTTTCATCCAATCATAGATCATAATTTAAATTAAACTAGAGATTTTTAAGTGTTTAGCTTCAATTTGGTATAATTTGATATAACTAAAAAAAATGTTTTTGAGCTAATAATTCTATAATAAACATGTATTCCTTATTAACACACAGTTAGATAAGAAAAAATAGATTGCAGCAACACATAATCTAAACTTATAAGATCCCAAGCTTGAAAACACTACTTCATTTATAAGATTCTAAGAGTGAAAAATTCTCAAAAGCCGTATATTATAAATTTAGAAGAACCCGTATCTCAAAAGCCAGAGATGGAGCTTGAAGAATCTAAGTTGATATTATAAAATGCAGACTGAAATCTCATACTTCCAATGTAAATCGTACAACTACAAGCTTGATATGTTAATAGTCAAGAGAGAGTTTTTAGACCCTTAATTTTAGGTCATCTTTAATTAATGTGGGAGACAAGAAATTTAATAAATTGCTTATTGGACCGAATTGATTTTTTGTTGGACTTAGAAGTATCAATCATGCATGATTCAAGCAATTATTGTTTACAATTTAGATTACCATAGCACAATTCAAGGAAATACATAAAAAAAAAATTGAATAAAAGAAGGAAAAAAACAAAAATGTTTCGATTAAAGAGCAACTTTAGCTAATGGGCAAATACTTTAGTTGGAGCACAAAGCAAAAGGAGATCAGAAAAACTAATCCAACAAACAAAAAAGACAGCTGAATAGTAATAATAATAATATACATTAACCCAATGTTACACTACAAAACCTATTAATCACGTACGGAGATTAATGCCTTTCTTGGACTCTGTTCTAATTTTTCTTTCTCTTTCTTTTTTGATTTTCTGTTCTGGAAAGTAAGACCCTATCCATGATCCTGTGTCTTTTACAAAATGATTAAAATAAGGCACACGCATATACTCCAAAAAAGGTCCAATCTTTCTCAAAGTTCTTGTAATGAGTCTCTATAATCCTTCAAAACTAATCAATCCTTCATAGTCTGATAAAGAGTAGACAATAATTCATATGAGATAGTGTGTGCTCGGTCGAGAGATTATGCGATGATAATCAAAACTTTATACAAAAATAATTAATCACTCCACAAACTTCAAAGAACTAAGCATGAAAGTTGCAGAAAATCAAAATATAAAGATATAGAATTATCTGTGCATATGAGACTTTTGATGGCATTTTAGCAGAACTCGTTTCTGCTAAGAATCTGCACCTGGTTGGTTGATGTAGCATCAAAATTCAACAAACATGCCAATATAATGCCTTCCTGTAAACTCATGGGCGTCAGGATCGACCTGGTGGTTGCCTAGCTTCGGATGCTCTCCTGACATACATTATGAAATATGAGAGACAGCAAAATCACGGTAAATTCTGAATATTTTAGTTAATTAAAATGGCAGACAGACCTATTTATATATTGCAAATTGATCTCCTTAATCCCTGCCATGTTACATAAAAATGTTCATTGGGCATTGTGACAAGGCATTTTATTCAATATTAAAACTTAGAATAGAGGTGAGTCCTACTAGAGCTAAAAGGTTGGCAAAATATACTGAAGTTTATTGAGGGAAGAAAAAGGGATGTGCATATTCTTTCCACAAATAAAAAGAGGTAGTTCTTCTCCCACTGTCTTTATTATTTGTTCCTCATAAAAATAAGAGAAAGAGTGATAAAAAATAAGAGAAAGAGTGATATAAAAAGAAGCTTTTGTGAAAGAGCTAGCAACAGTATCATCAGCTTCTGTGCATTTCAAACATGAGTTTATGGTATAATTAGAAAGGATAAATAAATATATTTCTTCTTTTAGGCTTAGCCTGAATAGCTTTTTTATACCTTTCAAAGGTGAGGGACTGGGGGAACTCCATTTTGAGTTCCGCCATCCAACAATATATGGGCTTTTTTTTTTTTTCCCAGCATGATGAAAATTATATCCCTATTTAGCCTCCATATATCCAAAATATATGCATATATTTCTTCCTTTTAACTAGCGGCACACTGTACTATAAACTCCCTCACGAACAAAAGAAGGGGAAAAATCCTAAATTTATGTTTATAACTGATGGAGAATTACAAATGTAACCATGACATGAACCAAGGGTAATATAGGGATGAATTGTATTAATAGTACAAAATAGTCATTAGCCAATTATTACAAACACAAGTTTATGTATATTTTGCAGATCATGCTTGTTCAAATTGACTTCCATAACAAGTATAATTAGATAAATTACCATTAATATCATGTGAAAGAATATAGGTACCTGTTGTGAATGGGATCAGGTCCGTTAGGAACTCTTCTCTTGCTCACATAATTAAGATCCAAATCCTGATGAATATGATGTTTTCCTCTTCCAGTTAGCTTCCAATGCTCAAAAGGTCCAGTTGATACAACTGCTGTTCTTGTCATTTTCGTTGCTTGGTTTGCTAAAATTCCAACACAGAGAAGCCAAATAACCCCCAAAAGAACACCAGCTCCAAATATAGCTCTCAAAACTCTATTGCCACTCCCCATGCTTTTATCCCCTCCAAGCACGCACTACTTTTCAACACAGAAGAACTGCTCGCCATTCAAAATGTCAACTACTAAAGAAATCAAGAAAACCATACCTGGGTTTGGGGGGAAGAATGGAACTCTTGAGAGGTAGGCAGAAAAAAAAAGGGAAGGGCGGGTAGAGCAGGGCAAGGCAAGTAATTTAGTTGCTTTTAACTTGGCGGGTAACGGGCAAGCAATTCTATTTAAAGCAGAAGACTGAAGCAAGACTGTGCAAGTGTGTATGTGCATGGGAGAGAGAAAGAGAGCAATAAAATAGACTATCTACAAATTTTTCTTTATTTTGAATGGGTCCATGAGAGCTTCCCCTCTTTGATTTGGCTTGTGCATCTTTTCATGCAGCGACCAAATGGGACCTCACTCTCTCCTAACTCTATGTTTCCTTAGCTCGTAAAAGATATAGGTGACTGTGCCCCTCCAAATCAATGAGGATGAACAACTAATATAATTGTTCCAATCTAAGGCAAGATCTTAATTACTCGACAAATGGCTAATACCTCTTTCTCTCAAGATGACTTATCATTATAACAACAAATAAAGTTAACCAATAAATTACCAGATGCAGAAAAAGCATCTTGTCAAAAGATACATACTCATGATATCATAATATGTATGCGAGTGAGTGAGAGACATATTGTTGAGAAAGTGATAAAGAAGAGTCCATAAGTGAATTCCTCTCTCTCACCTCCTCTAGAAAAATGAAGAGACTCAAAAGAAAAGCCTATAAATATTGCTTTTTTCAGGGCCTTGATTTTCTTACTAAAGAAGAATCTCCATCCAACCTTTCATTTGAACTATGCATAAAGCACTAATATGGCACTCAGTTCTCAATTTCCAATCAATTTATAATGCATTTACCAAGTACAAAAAGAAACAGAAATAGAATGATTCAACAGTAACAGCAATTGAAACTCTAATAAATTCACCTTTGCTAATAGAATTCTCTGAATTTTAAAGTTGTGTCATCTACTAACTTCCAACCTCATGAGAAATAGACAACACATCAAAAAAGCACATGCTATGTATATTCTTTAGAAAAGACAACCTTATCCAGAACGAGTTTCAATCATACACAATTAATCTAGAAAAACTTTCAAAGCTTTTTGTGGAGTACAAAGATTAACTGGATTTTATCAAATCAATCTTCTGATTTGCAGTAGAATAGAACGGAGAGAATGAATCTCACAAGAAAACAAACGAACTAATTAATAACATGATCTGACAACTCTCACATCCTTCAGTACAGCATATAACATAATGGAGAGGAAGTCTAGAGCATTTCTAATTAATAACAAAAGAAAAAATCTGACTATTACCCATTCCATAATTGGCAATAGAACCTTAATTCCTGTGAGGGAACAAAATAAGAAGGAAACGAAACAACTCCTGTAAGTTCCTAGAGGCGGAGCAAAGCCATTAGACGCAAAAGAATAATGTGCATGCACCATCAGATGCAAAAAAAAATAATGTGCATGCAAAAATTATCTGGATAAATTTTAATAAAAAAAGAAAACTTGATGCAGTAAGAATATCTATTCAGCAAGGTTAACGAAATAGAAATAGTAATGTTTTGGCATCTACTACAAAATCTACCTGCCATAAAAAAAAATTTAAAATCATATGCACATATATGGCCATTAATGAAAATTTCCTTCAATTTATAATTGATGAATAAATCCAAAGCAATGCCATCATCAATTTATTTTTTGTTTCCTCAAGAATGTCTTGTCAACTTTCAGAACCTGATTTCCAAAATGTCTCATTGTCACAGTATCCAAAGGGACAGCATCAAACATTATCATTCTCAAAGTACAGATTTTTTTTTTTTTTTTTTTTTTTTTTTTTTTTTTTTTTTTTTTTTTTTTTTCTGATGTCCAAAAGAATGATCTTTTGATTGGTTTTTTTTTTTTTTTTTTTTTTTTCTGATGTCCAAAAGATGATCTTTGATTGGGATTCCATTTTAAAGAATTTTGGTTCAATGATTCTAGTGGGGCAACTCTTTCAATCATGAGAATGTAAGGTCCACTAAAGGTTGCAACTCATTCTTCACAAACTGGTTTCTTGAGTTCTTATATATTATATCCCAAAAATGAGTTTATTTCTCTAGTCCTTCAATAAATTGGTATATACAGCTTCAATTGAACAAATACACAGTGATATAAAGTTAGAAAGGTTGCCAAGGACGATATGGAGAGATAAAGAAAAAGGTAGAAAAATCTCAACATGAAAGGTTAATGATAAAGAGGCTTCAAAGCATGTCTAATAATAGTGAGGCAAAACCACAGCACAAATACGTGTCAATAGCATTTAAAAAGAAGTTTTGGATTAGGATGCTTAATAACTCATCCTCATCCAAAACAAAGTTAAAAGAAAACAATGCAACAACACTTAATACCAAAATATTTTGGAAACATAACCATAAACCTAACCTCAAATAACAAGTTCCAATGCTGCCACAACACAGACTATCTTAAATTTGAGACGGTGAGTAGGTCATCAGTAATCATAACTGTATCTCAATGATATACAAACACAATTTCATTAGTTTTCCTTCTTTGATAATTAATGAAACCTAAAAAAGGAGTAGAATCTTTAGCATGCAATTATGGATGCAGTACATAAGAGGAGCCGTTAAGAAGAAGGCTAAGACGAGATCAGGGACAAAGATAACTAAAGCCAAAAATCTACTGCAGAACAAATTCCAAAAGTGCCTGAAGAAAGAGAAAGAAGCAGAAAACTACTCAAATTGCCAGTTTAATCTCAGATTGAGTGCTCTACACTGGAAAATGATAAACTATTTCTCTCCCATGAACTACGCATCACACAAGGAGGGAGCATGCTCCACCTCATCTAACTGAAAAGATATAGTATAGCAAACATATACATCACATATAAACTATCATAATTAATCTAAATTGAACCCGGAATCAATGTACTTTACCATCCAAATAAGCATTCCGAGCTGTAATACATGTCTTGATGCCAGTTGTATGGCTGAATCCTTCTTGATCTTCCTGTTCATCAGCAGTACTTTTTGTCTTCTACAAGAATATGGAAATAGAAGGCTTCTCCTCTAAACTTCATATGGTTCATGGACATGGATACAAGACAAAAGATAACACGACATGAGACAGGTACTTTTTTTTTTGGTAGAGTTAACTCTTTCCCTTCTTCTCTTTGCATTTGTTACTCTGCTTCTATGATTGAATTGAACTTTAAAAACAAACTTGACGGAGCATTTTCTTCATTTTACTATATGCATGAAAAAGAAATTATTTTAGAAGACAAACTCATGAACTTTCCAATGAATGTTCAATATGTATAGGAGGTATGTTGGGAACACATGTTCCACTTTTTTCTTTTTTCTCCTTTCAATTTTTGCTTGGGGACAGTTTATTGTGTCAGGAATTCATGTCTAATGAGCATCCAACACTGCATACCCTAGTAGAGGCATGTCAGCAGATCATAAACTGAAGGTATCACTTCAGATGCCTTTCTTATCTGGGAAAAAAAAAGAGATTCTCTTATTTTTACAGCATTCATAGTTTGGACAACGTAAATGTGTTCCTTTCCAATTAAATGATAAGGTATACATTGTTCTCCAGGCACTGGTCTGTTTTATGCTACAGAAAGAAGGTGCAGGCTACCTATCATCAGAAGATACAACCAGCCTTTGACCTCCTTTCTACTATCAAATATCATCTGACATAGAAAAATAAAGTGGTCATGTCATGCTCCAACCATCAATTAAGAGAAAATGAGTTCAGGATCTTTTCTGAAAGAAACTAGGAATCAGTATTCCGAAGGTTGACAGATATGTCAAGTGCTTGAAAAGCAAAGCTTCTGATCCGGCTGCAATGTTGGCTCTCTTTTCAAGGTTTCATATGAGAATATCCTCAATCAATGCCAACATCTAAATAGCGAGAGTTTTCTCTTGAAAAATCTTAACTCTTAATATACTTTCCTATAAACTCAAAATGGGTATATATTATTGTTTTTAAGCAGAAGCAATATTTTCAGAACCACCCAATCATCTAACTAGAGAAGGAAGAGAAGAATCAGGGGTTCAACCAAGATCGAACTTGAACAGAACAGAATAAATATATTAAATATTTTACACAACAAACAAACAAACAAAAAAAAAAAAAAAGAAACGGTAACTTGAACAGAACAGAATAATATATTAATATTTTACACAACAAGACAAACAACAAAAAAAAAAAAAAAAAAAAAGAGGTGTACAACTAATAATATAAAGAACTTTAGAGCTGGCTGGAAGGACTTGATAAGACATATGGCCAGTTCTAGAGCCAACCAATTTTTCTCTACTAAGCAAACCTAGGCATCTTATATTTACAAGGGTTTTAGTAAATTCAAAATCAAACTGCTCGCTTAGCCAGACTTTGAATCCATTTTTCCCATTCCCAGTTCTCAGTTAAAAAAAAAAAAAAAAAAAAGAGGTGTACAACTAATAATATAAGAACTTTAGAGCTGGCTGGAGGACTTGATAAGACATATGCCAGTTCTAGAGCCAACCAATTTCTACTGCAAAACTAGGCACTTATATTTAACAGGGTTTAGTAATTCAAAATCAAACTGCTCGCTTAGCCAGACTTTGAATCCATTTTTCCCATTCCCAGTTCTCAGTAAAAAACCAAAACCAGTAATCTAATTCCAAACTAATCCTCTTAACCAGCCTGCTATTTTGTTTGACAATAAACAAGAATTTGGGAATTTAACTGAGACAACTTTGAAGAGTAAAACACAAATAAATTGAGATATACATCATGAACAAGTTAAAAATAAAAATCACCAATAGGTATACTGCATTTATTAGCAAAAATTAGCAACAGAAACAAATAGCAATGAATAAAAATATTCATATTTGACAAACTGGTAATAAATTAGTGATAAAATATAATTGTAAACATCCATCTAGTAAATACAGAATTAGTTTAGGTCCTTACAATTATCAAAATGAGCCTGATACACTGGGCTTTCTCTCAATATTATCAAGAATATTAGGCACCCAGGAAATATTGAGAAACAAAAGAAAACATGAAACTTGTCGAATATAACAGACTGCAACTTTTAAAGGAGCAACAAAATAAGTCAAAATTATGCCATACTACAGGAAATTACCTAAATATCCACTACGGCTACTTTCATGTGGTCTGATAGCGACAAGGATGAAAACAGCAACATGTAGAGGTGTATGCAAAACCATTTTGAGCTTGGATTCTGCTACTGTTCACCTTCAGCTTGTAGACTTTTGGTCAAACTTCTGCTGCTGTTCAAAGTGGCTTTTCTGACTCTCTTCTTTTGAGCCCACTTGGGTCCATAAATCGCTAAATGAGTCCTACCGAATCTTCGATCAGCAATCTGCTCTTTCATCATAATCATAGTTAACAAAATCCATAAGAAGTGTTAGTATTAGACCATACAAATAAATGCAGAATCAAAACTTTCCGTCCTAATCAGATTAACAACTAATAGAAAATTTTGCTCACTTGAGAAAAAAAAACCTAAAGGTGCGCTAAGTAAATCTAATGTGATGCTTAGTATCTTGAATTTAGATGTAAAATTCATTCCAAATATTTGACAGTAATATGCTTATAAAGCTTGGACTAATAGCACTTGAAAGGGACAAGACATTATGCCTGGTAAGAAGAAGATATTTAAGGGGAGGGCAGGATTTGAAGGGTTCACACTTAATATAAAAGTACTTATCAAGTTTATTCCATGAAGATGTACAGTTGTAACACATACCTTTATAAGGCAACCGCATGAATCCATCATGTTAGTTCTTAGAGGATACTCCACCACCTAAGCCATGAACTTTCAGAAAATTGAAAATTAATCAAGTAATAAGAGCAAGCAAGAAAGGAAGTTGTGGCAACTTACAATAAATGTATTTTCTCCAACTAACGCCGATTTTGAAATTTGATCCATAAGTATCCCATAGTCAACTTCCATATATGGAGGTGTGACACTAATGAAATCAAATGTTCTGTGCCTTCCTACAAAAAGCAATTCTTTATTCATAAATGCTACAAAAGTGAGGTCATCAAAGCTTATAGTCTAGATTAACAGATAATTGTCAACTTTGAGGAACATGGAGGTCAAAGTCAATCAATTTTCATCAGTCTTCCGTTTATTTGCTTGAAAGACATGCATAAAGTGAGGCATGCAGTCCCTTTTTAAACAACAAGTTCTTAATTCTTATCTATTATTTATTTATAGTTATTGTACATGCTACAATTAGAAGTAGCACCGATGCACTGAAGTAAGATCAATGACTTTTTTGGTTTTACTATTGACAACATGATGGCTGACTCTTGCTTGGTCAGAAGGGAATATCCAATTTGGAGATGTGGTTGAAAACCATAAACTGTTACTATCCTAGTTGCAAGACAAGATATGAACTTAATTTGGATCACATATTGGAAGTATGGGATTTCAATAAAGAGTTTCTATAAGCTTCGGGCACTCCAACCTCATGAGCTAGCTTCTGGGTGTGGTTCTCCAAGATTCATATAATTCAATATTAGAGCCAACCATGGTTTCTCCCAATTGCAATCAAGTGGCAAGGGTGTTGATGTGGCATTGAATTGTTCACCTGGGGTAGTAATTGCAGTATTCACTGGAAAAAAAAAAAAACCTAGCGCACAACCATCTTAACAAAAGTTAACCCTTCGTGGACAATTCACCTGATCCTCTTCATTCCGTGAAGGCCTTTCCCACTCTCGCCGAACCTTGACACTGGCAGTGCTACTTCTGTATTAAGAGAAAGCGCTGCGCCGTGGAACTGTGGTAGGATCTCTCGATCCTAGTTGCAAGAAATGGTATGAGACTTAACTTGGATCCCACATTTAAAGTATGAGAGTTCAATATGGGGTTTATATGGACTTCTCCAACCTAATAAGTGGTTCTTCCAAGGTTCACATCATAAACCCTATGTCAAAATCAAAGGCATTTTTTATTAAAAGCAAATATTATGAATTAGAGAATTTTCTTACTTGGGCTTTATCTATCAGTTCATCCTACTTAGTATTTGATTACCAAGTTGCCAGTTTAAGGCAACTAAATAGAAATCCAAATAGTATAACGTATCATCGTTGGATCTTCTTTACTTACATAACCTGGTTTATTCCTCAGGATTTTTTTATTAGTGAAATATCTGTTAATTATGAGTATTTTACTTCTAAAGACCAATGAATAATGAAATATGAATGTTGTTTTAGGCACACGCGATAAGTGTATGATTTATCCTCTCCAAAACATGTTCTTATGAAAGAAAAACGCAATATATTTTAGTTCACCAGGTGCACTGAATAAATATCTTCTAAACCCTGATCAGATTCTAAATCCTAATTATACTTTCTATCTTAACTAGAACCCCTAAAAGTATCAACCATTCCAGTTGGGCTCACTAAAAAAATGCACAAGTAGGAGCACAGTACACATAAAAGTGCACGTGATCTACATGAGTAATTGGATTATAAGCAATTGCAAAACACGCAATAAATACATATGTCAAAGTATAACCTTGTTTTCCATGTTATGCATAGAATAGAATGGAGACAAAAAATTCATATATCCGACTCCAACTGGTCTAGGCATGAAGGTGTTTCTGTTAGTTTTATGCTTGCTTATTGCTTAATAAAGTAAATGATTTTAACAATTTTCAAAATTTTTATGAAAATTATTTTCTTTTCAAAATCCTTTGTTTCCTAGTTTATGATTTGCTTATTTCTTTCCATTATTGAACAGAGGGAAATGGTAATGAATGGTTCATATAGCCGACTGCAACTATTTTGGTACTAAGCCTTAGTTATTGTTGTTGTTGTTGTACTCCAAAGAAGTACTATATACCATAAATACCCTATAATAGGCCAAAAACCAAAACATTCTCCTTTTCTGAATGAATTGTCCCACTTGAATTAAATATACATATGGATGTGGTGTGCTTCTCATACTGAATTTGAAGGGTAAGCCATTTCCTGTTTTATTAAGAAAATACCACTCCTTCAATTTTGTCCTTTTTAAAATTGATTAAAAGTATTAAGAAGTGAGCTTTTATTAATTCAATAAAACAATAAATCTATAGTAATATTACTGCTAGCATGAAGTCCATGCATCATCAGAAGTCATTATTCAAATTGACACTGCTTGTTGAATTTTGTAGCAAATTTAAAAATGAAAGTAAATAACCTAGATAACTCCTGAGGAGGCTTTATAATCTTTCATGATAATCATATGCAACTATGTGTGTGCAACTGTGTATGTGTAGTGTTTGAGAGAGAGAGATGGCACACACCTACAAATTGCTCTGCTTGTTCAAGAAAATTTTCCACGCTAGCTGTATGAATCACCGAAACATCTAGAAACCCAGTTGACTCCAAATTTGGTTGTAAAACATTTGAAACAACCCAGGGATCCATCTCAACAAAATGAACCTGGGAATTGAACATAGATAAACTAGTAACATAATGAACTATATAGAACAAAATGCAAGGATATCAACAGAAACAATTGAAAATCTTATCAGAAATTAAATATGAACCCTAACCAATTATTTCATAGCTCACAATATATCAAGAGAGATATGAAAAGTTAGTATGATACCTCAGAACAACCCCGACTGATAGCTTCAATGCCAACAGATCCCGTGCCGCTATACAAGTCCAACCAGCAACCTGGCCTTAAAGATGCAGGACAGCCACCAGCGGCCTATGGAAAGCCAAGTAAATCACTGTTCAGGATCAACTAGTTAATATAAAAGAAAGAGAGGATTCTGAGAGAGTAAAACTTCCACAGCTGGTTGACAACCAATATTACACAGAAAACCAACAATTAGGCAGAACTACCACCTGCAAGATATCAAAGGCAGATCCTTTTACGACTTCCATCATTGGTCGCACATCCATGCCCTTTGGTGACAGCAACTTTTTTCTTTTAGCCTTTCCTCCAAGCACCTACAATTGCCAGCATTTGTGGTCTGTGTTAATTATGTATTTAATTTTTGATACAAAGAAAAACCACATTATTTAATTGCGGAAAAAACGATAAAGCATATTGCACAGGAAAGTGATCACCCTATCATGGTTTTAAGATGCGATAACATCCTCAATGAGTCCATCACTATGTACAGCAATTGTTATAGAAGAAAATGAAAAACTAAAACTTTTTTGTTTCATCAAAATACCACATAAAATATAAATTTGATAATTAACAATGATGAAAAATGTAACTATAAATGCTACTTAAGGTGCAAAGAATTCAGTTTCATCAGGCTTCCAAACATGCTTCAAACAACCAGTAATTAGTCGTGTATGCTTCAATCAGATTCAAAAGCTTTTCTACATAATAAAAAACAGATTTCCTGTTCTACTTTATAACATTTATCTTCAATTATTCTCCTGAGATATGCACAAACTTAAGGAATCCTGAGAAAGTCGCCTAACATTTTTTTCAATTGTCATTGGAGACAAAACAAGTGCCAAACAATTTTTAATTTCCTTTCCCTAAAAAGATTAATTGTCTTCCAAGTCCAAATCAAGACCAAAATGATAAAGCCAAACAGACCTCAAGCGAAATGCATACCTGTAGCAACCTATGTGTCATCCTAGGTGGCTTAGCCTCCTCTTCAGGGACTCGTTTCTCTCTTCCCGTCTGTTTAACTTCCTTTTTCCTCCTTGACTATAAGAAGACCAATTTAAAACAAACAAATTCAAAACCAATCTCAAATTAAAACTTTCAATTAAAAATGGAGCCAAAATCAAATTAAACCATATCAATCCTTTGTTTCATAATTCTCAGTTCCTAATGAATTTCTCATTTCTCAAGCATCAAAAGCAACATTAAGAAAATTTTTAATATATATATATATATATATTCCTTCATTTCCTCAATTTTCTCATAAAACAAACACAAAATTGGAGAAAAATAGAAAAGAGAGAGAAAGGAAAAAAAACCTTAGGAGAGGTTTCTGATAAGAACTGTTTAGGATCGAGACCGTATCTTTCAAATAACGCTTGCTTATCTTCACTTGTCAATCCACCTCCTGATTCTGTTGACACCATGAAAATTAACGCTTCAGCTAAAATATGCACATTTTAATAATAAAAATTGAAATTTTGGTGACAGTGAAGAATTGAGAACTGACTCTGGGAGCAGATGATAATGTTTGATTGACGAATGATGGACTTGGAGGAGACGTTGAATAGAGGAAGAACAGGAGAAGAAGAAGAAATGCGAGAGTTGACGTTGATATGTAGTGAAGAGGAAATTGGAGACGCTGAAATTGCCATTTTTAGAGCTTGAGTTCTTAGTTCAGTACTTCAGTTGTAGCTGGAGACGGAGAGTGAGCCGTCGACACTAGGCTGTTCAGTGAAAGCCTAAAAGGAGTTTGGGATAATAAAAGTTAGCAGCGTGCATATAATTCAGTTAACGACTTCGTGAGGATATTTTTTTTTAGTGCCAAATGATAAAAAAATACCGTTATTACAAGTTTGACCCATCTTTTTTAATTACTTCCAGCTAATTTAGTCATCCATTAGTGGATTTTTCACTGTATAGAACTTCAACATTAAAAAAAAATTCTGAACCTTGATATTTTTACAATTGTAATCAACTCTCTTTAATTTTATAAATTAATACCTTAATTTTTTTTTTAATAATTAATAACTTCCATCACTTTACCGTTGAATTCAAAGTGATGTAACTCTTAGATTAAGTTTGTGAATCCCATGTTTAGACATATCGTGTTGAAGAGAGTAGTAATCAAAGAAACACAACTTTCTCTCTCTTCGATGATTGATTCAACTAAATAAAAAAATTTCAAAAAAAAGATTAATGGTCTAAAAAATCTTAGATTTTTACTCTTTTTTTTTTCAATCTATTCGTTTTATTTTATTAATTAACGTTTTGAATTAATTTTATCAATCGTGCTGCTCCACCTCTTACTAATTTAACGCTCACAGGTCTTCCATGTCATTTAAAATAAAAAGGTCCATTGACCATGAAAAGCTTAAATTTTAAAGCATCTCCGATGCAATTTTGGATTGCTCTAATTTATTTGTCATGTCGAAAAAATTAAAAGTTATTTTCCAATGCAACTGTATTTTTAGTTCGTGGGTCTGATGTGTCAAAAAGAAAAATAGACATTGTCCGTCATGCTATCTATTTCCAGAAAGCCTGTTAGACATCATGACTCAGATATTCATTCTTTTAATACTATTTATTCATTTTTTCTTGTTTGTTATTTTTAAACTGTGACATCCTATTAAATCGAGTCGTTGCATAGAGTCGAGTCAAGTCGGGCCGAACCAAAACCAGGTTCGATCCATTAGAATCCAGAATGGGGTAGAATGGGATTGAAATTAAATACTTAAAAGAATTAGACTTAATTGAATGAAACATAAAGATAAAAGTATAAGGATTAGAACCTAATTGAAATAAAGTATAAAGTTTAGATATTAAATTGTAAAATATTAAAAATTTAGGTACTATTTGATAATTTTAGTCGAGTAAGTCGGGCCGAACCAAAACCAAGGTTGCGATCCAATAGAAATCCCAGAATGGGGTAGAATGGGATTGAAATTAAATACTTAAAAGAATTAGACTTAATTGAATGAAACATAAAAGATAAAAGTATAAGGATTAGAATAAAAGTATAAGGATTAGAACCTAATTGAAATAAAGTATAAAGTTTAGATATTAAATTGTAAAATATTAAAAATTTAGGTACTATTTGATAATTTTTAACATAAATCAGAGATATATTTAGAGGTTACCCGAAAATTCCATTCACTTTACCTTCTCCATCTTCTCCTTTGTCTTCTTCCTTCACTTTACCTACTCCATCTTCTCCTAGATCTTCCTCCATTCTCTACCTTAATATTAAACCTTTCAAGCATTAAATTCAACCTATAACTCTATCCAAGTAAGTTGAATTTCTTGAATTTCATAATTTAGTGATATTTTGGATGATTAATAAAAGGATAAAAGGTTATTATGTATAAGAAAAATGGATGATTAATAAAAGGTTATTATGTATAAGAGAGGTGAACTCAAAGTTAGAAGAGAAAGGAAGCTAAGAAGAAGGTTTAAAGCTTTTTGGTTGAAGTTTTGATATCTCTTTTAGTTTAACAAATTTTCTTGCACGAGAATATGTGTAGTGTGATGATAGTGATAAGATATGTTGCTAAATGTTGAGTATTAGTCTAAGCATGTTGATAAAACAGGGGATGCATTGAATAAATGAATTGGATATTGATTCATGCTGAAACAGGTTTGTTAGAAAACTGACCCGTAACTTCAACCTAAATTTGAACCTGTTTACTGATGGAATTAGGAAGTGGTATAGAAGAGTTATTTGTTCCTTTATGTTTTAACTGTCCATGAGCTTGGGAATCACCTAAATTGGACTTATAAATTGAAAAATATGACCAAAATAGTACAAACTGTGCAGGCTGGAAACCAAAAATATGGGTGTACTGGAAGTTGCTACTTTAGCTCAATATTTGACTACTTTACAAACATATTTACGAGATGTGATAGAAGACATATTTCGACCCTAATGTGTTAGCTAACCATATAATTTAGAATTACCTAAATTGGACTTATAAATTGAAAGATATGACCAAAATGGTACGTATTGTGCAGACTAGAAACCAAAAGCTAGGTAGACTAGCAGTTGCTACTTTAGCTCAATATTTGACTACTTTACCAACATATTTAAGAGATGTGATAAAGACATATTTGTACCCTAATGTGTTAGCTAACCATAGAATTTCGAATTACCTAAATTGGACTTATGTAGAAAGAATTATGCTAGAATTTGTGAAACATATACAGGCTGCCCTGGCAGATTTCAAGGCTACATTAGAAATGATGTTGGGATGCATATCTAGATTCATTCAGCATAATATTTTTACTGAATTTAACCTTCTGAGTTAACTTAAATTAAAATCAAGAATTTCCTTAATCTGAATGATTTCCATGCAAGTTCCTTTATAAGTTATCAATTGTTTGTATTATTACTCATTAGAGATTACTTGTAGTTGTCTATGAAATCCTCTTAAAGCATGAAAACAGGTTAGCAACGTACAGAATCTTAAAGCATGAAAAGACAGGTTAGCAAGTTACAGAAATGACAGCATACAGGTAAACATTATGGTTTATGCATTTTATGAATAATGTAATATGTTTATTGTATTATTGAAATACAAATAATATGCTCCACTGAGGTTAGGTAGAAATCACGTAAATAAGACTATGTAGCGACATAGGATATTAGATCTGTACCCCATACAGTGTGGTACTCTGACTACAGGCCGTTGAGTGGTTATGATTATATACGGATCATAGTAGCCTAGTCATACAGTATTCATCCAGTTTCATATAGTTCTTCTTATCACTTAGATTTCATTATGACCTTATAGAGCCATACAGTTATGAGATATTAGTATTTATAAATTATACGATGTTTTAATTAAAGTTGCATAATTCATACAACATAATGAACAGCAGGTAAGATCATGAAAGTGTAATGATATGTGTGATTACATGTTTATTTATTTGGTTCTTATTAATATTGTGGTTGCTTATTAAGTTTACAATATCCACTGAGCTTTATTTGCTCAGCGAGTTTACCTGTTTTAACTCGCAGAGATTGGGTCTGGACCGTAGACATCTTTACAATTGCTGCAGTTCATCTTTTAAAGACCCAGTCTTCAGGGTAGCTACTCATTCTGATATTTTGGTTCTGTGGCATGTACAAGGCACATAGTTGAGTCCATTTCATTTTGGAAAATAGGGTAATGTCTTACAACTATGAAGTAAAGATCTGTATATAAATGATGTATAAAGCAACAACATGACATATTATTTAACATACAGAATGATATCAGCATGACAAGACATAGGTTCAACCAGATTGTAGCGTCTCGGCTCGGTTCATTCGGATTAGCAGGTGGACCGGGAAGGGATGTTACATAAGCCTTCTCTTTATTCGCGCTTAAACTTCTTGTTGTGTTAAAACTGATTTCTTCTTCGCTCTCAAATGGAAAATATGGAGGTGTTCTTCTTCGTGTTCAGGCGAAAAAATATAGAATTATGGTTGGTTGTCAATCTAACAAATTATCAAGACTGGAGGTGCAAGGTACGAAATAAAGTGCAAAAGAAAAGCGTAGCAATTGGATCAAGGTAATATTTTTTTCTTCATTTTAATTCTTTTATTAGTCTTTTGTTTTAGTTTGATTACCCTTGCATGATTAGTATTTATAATCAAATAGCTTTAGAATTAACCTAAAAAATTAAGGTAAAACTAGCTCTCAACTGTCTTCATAGTTCCTACATTTTTTTTTTTTATTTTTGCCACTTCTTAAAAACTCGTCTAAAATTCATATCTCTCTTCTCTTCCACCCCTCCTATTGTCCTAGTGATTTAAACAAATAATAGAAAGTATGAAACACACAAAAATGGAATTCCAGCATTGTTTCTCTTGACTTGTTAAGAAACTTGTCTTTTTATCTTACTTTGGGCTAGATTTCATATTGTTCAGTTTCTGCCGAACATGGTTTCATATAAAACATATGAAGTTAACATTGCAAAATTATCGTTGTTCTTTGTTGTATTTAGTTGAGTTGATTGTCGTTTGTTATGCATCTCTACAACAGTTTATTTTTAGTTTACTATATTTTTATATGTTTAATTTTAATTACATATGATTTTAAAAGATAAAATCCACATCATCGGAAAGCTTTAAAATAATCAGAAAGCATTTGAGAGCTATTTTTAAAATCTAACATCTGCAATACATATTCAGCCATATCATCACTTATAATTTCTATTTATTAAGACATATCAGCCACATTTCATGGTTGGATTAAAGATTCTCCGAGCCTTACTTTCTATTTTGGCCAATGTTTTTAATTTTATGGATTGATATTTTAAATAATTATCTTGCATTGTTCCTTTAAAAAGAATTATTATTATTTTGCATCATTATAGTCTCCCTCCGATTATCATTAAAAAAAATGATGACGTGACCATTAGTGGGGCTCACCCCATGCTGAGACATCATTGACTGATTTGTCACATCCATTTAAAAATTGGAAAGCCCAATTATTAGCCATAATGAAGTCATTTATAATTTCATCGTATATGAAATTTTGACCATTTGATTGACTTTTTTTGTTATTTTTGTTAAAATTAAGGGAAAAAAAAATACTATTTAATTCCTTTAATTTTGTCAAATTCACTATTTCATCTCTTTATTACAGAGAACCACTTAAAGAGGTCCCCATATTTTGATTCTATCCAATCATAAGATATCTATGTCTAAAACGAGTCCTTTTGCTCGTCAACTGTATGTGAAAAGGTGAAGATACCTTCCTTTTCATTGCATGACGTCGTTCTGTGAGAAAGG